GATGTCCGCGGGCTGGGTTACTCGTTTGAACTCAAGGGGCTCCTCGGAGACCTGTACACCAAGTGCGACGGCTCTGTCCCCATGGCGATGGCCAGCACAGAATCCGCTTCCAACGTGAAGGCGGGCGCGATCGACCACGTCGTTCAGCCCGTCGTGCTAAAGGAGAACTTGAACGTGCTGTCGTTCCAGGACGCCGTGCTGGCGCAGGCGGCCAAGCAAGGGCTCACTCGAGCTCAAGGGTTCCACGAACTCCGAAAAATGGCCATCATGCTGCAGCAAAACTGCCTCCCTGGGGACGTCACCGACTTCACGGACGACCAAAAGAAGATGTTTCGAGGCAAGGGGTCGGCATCGTTTGCGATTCTGTCCAAGATTCAGTCGGGAGAAGACCCGATTCGAATCGACGGGTGGCCAGAGCTCCTCTTCAAGTACTTTGGGTGCCATGGCAACGTGAAGGAGCACTGATCGCGCTCAAGGCACTGCGGCGCTGCGTGTGTATGGACCACGAACCTTGTATATACCCCATCCTTTCATCTAAGGCGAGTCGCATCGATTCCCAGTAGTACCACGTGAAAACACGGCAGCGAAAGGATGCGCGTGCTTTACCCACCAGAGTCTTCTTACCGTCCCCTTGCACGAAACACAACAGAGAGAGGACAAGAATGTGGGCATGGTTCCTATGCCAGGGAATCTAGGTCTGATAGAGTGATGGATTGTGTACAGCCATGACAGAGAATCAAAGCTGGGCAAGGCACAGCGAGGGAGGTGGTCGTCGGTTGCCGAAGGTACCTTCCGACCGAACTTCGTGTCCTCGAGGCATGTCGGAGCTATGCAAAATAGCTTCTTAGTCGATGAGTGGCCAAATATACCATCCATGGGGCTCTCTGATTGGCTGTCACTTGAAGAATTCAAGGGTTCAGTTCACATGCGTTGGCTCTTGGGGATATCTGTCGCGCCGCCCGAGACAGAATGGGGCAATGAAACATGACCGAACGAACCATCGGACTAGGGAGTCGCACTCGTGTGGATCACGTAAAGCACGCATTCAACCAGGCCCTTCCTCCGCCATGGTGCCGCTGGTAGTACAAGCAGCGAATTTAAAAAATATGTATGGATATATTTCTTTTTAAAACAAGGGCGAAATCATCGTTCTTGACCGCACATTTTTCCTGAAGCACCTCGCCAAATCAACGGGCGGTGACTGCATGCATCGCTATAGGGGGCTCCCGGTGCCATGCGTCGTCATGGCCAAGGGAATCCAGGTTCGGCTGGGTGCCATCCTCCAAACATCCGTTCTCGCTCGAGACCATGGGTGCTCTTGTGGCATACAAACTTCAAAATTGTACGGGTGAGCGCCGCGCCTTCGCACGTTCGCAGTGGCTTGTCTGACGGATCGTGTAAGAGCCTGTACGCGCAATCCGCGACGACTTGCATCGCCCGAGACAGTGGAACGCGACATGACAACGCCTTGGTCGACAACGCGTGTTATGTCAGCGGAGCTGTTCCAATATGAGCGAATTGGCTGGGACGTCGGCACGTGTTTTGTCACGTACCAGAACCCGCTGTTGTCAAATCGTACCGCCATCCAGGCGCCGATCCATGTCTTGCGAGCTGCCGTCATTCCAGCATTCGTTCCAACATGCGCAGCCGCATCACGCTCATCGTTGTGCTCTTCACGCTCTTGTGCGCCATCGTGTTCGGCGCGGCCGCCAACGACGACCAAGCGGCTCTCCGTGGCGTAGCCAGCCACTACCACGAGGTGGCCCACGTCCCCCACGACGCCATGGACCGCAACCTGTTGATCAGTCCCGAAACCCGCGGCAAGATCAAGGGTGCGATTGGCAAAATCCGCGGACATGTCCGTCATGCGGTGGATCAAGGTCGACAAGTCGCCAACAATGTCGTGGCCCGCGTCAAGGGCGCGATCCACAAGCACGCGCCAAAATTGAACACGCACGTCCAAAACTTCATCCAGCGCGCCAAGGGTGTCGGCAGTCGAATCGCCGACAGAGTCCGCAACGCTGTGGACAAAGTGAAGGGCCATGTTCGAAAGGCGACGGGTCACGTTCGCGGCATCGTCGACAAGGTTCGCGCCCGCTTTGGCAACAAAGGCGGCCATCACGCCGCTGGGCCGGTCGACGAGCCACAAGGCTAAAACTAAGCGGCCGGTTGCGTCGCTCCTCGCGTTTGTTCAGTGGTATATAACTCATAACCATGTCTATTCACCTCGTCACGATCACTTGGCGCCATCACACTCGTCCTGCGAGAGACCTCGGCGCCACCGCGAGAGCGATTGCGCAGGTGGCGAGCATGGCTCGCGAAGCATGACAATGTTGTATATCGACGTGAACGGCGCATGTCCATCACAGGCGCGGGTCGAACTCGCCATCCTGTCGACAACGGATGACACCAAGTGCACGGCATCGTCCTCGGCTGGACTCGCTAGAGTTCAACAACGGATCGTTCTCAACGCGATCGAATCGACAGTTGCCGCGATAGCCAAAGCACTGACAGCACACACTTGTGTCGCACCGAGGGCTGCTTCAACATCGTTCAGGTCGAGATTGAATGCAGGAAAGCCATCATGCCGTTGTGCAGGACCGTTTTCACGAATTGCAGACATGTAGTCGCGCTGCAAGCTGAGTATAGTCTCCCGCGCGCGTTCAGCATCTCCGAAAGCACCGGCGCAATAGACGTACGCAGACTCGCTGACGTTGTGGATCTTCGCCACGTCGAACCACGAGATGTTGAGCCTCGCGACGTCGCTGGAAACCTTGTCGAAGGCATCGTCCATGCGCGCCGACGTCATTCCAGTACAGGATCCTTTGCCATGCCAACGCATCGCTTGCATATTGTGTGGTAGACTGCGACAAGACCTGGGGCTCAACGATCCCGAACGTTGGCGCCAAAGGTATCGAATGCTGGCTTGGAGGCCGCCCGAGGCTCGATCGTCCTGATCCGACGCTTTGTCACGGCACGTTCCCTCGATTCACTCCGTCGTCTGCCTTGCCTAAGCGACGTGCTGCATTAAGGAATGGCATTTAACCGTGGGTAGTCCGCTGGTCAGGGGGACCGGGTCAGTGTCGGGGTCGGTCGTCGGGGCGCCATGCGCGGCTGGTGGGGCGACAGGTTGGCGCGAAGGTTGTGTATTCAATTGATCAAGTTGAGCTGGTTTGGAGCCGGCCCGCTGCTGCGTTCCGCAGGGGGGGGTGCTTTTCGCCTGGGTGACAACGATGACGGCAACCCGACCCATGCCAAAAGCCCAACACGTTTCGCTTAACATTGCGTTGAGGGGGGGGGTGGCAATCGGCGCTGGAGGCATAGCAGAGACTGTGAAACCAACGCGGCGCGCGTGTCATCGACCGACCCCTCCCGACCAATGTAGGATTCACGATCTCACCTTGTAATATCAACCACGTCACGATTGCCCGATGTGCACATTGAATCCGGGGGGGGCGGCATGCTGGTTCGTCGCTACTTCGAGTTCGCACGGGCATGGCCGGTATGCCGCTTCGTGCGGCCTAACGCATGGACTTGGTGCACGGCGCAGTCGCATCGCGCCGATCTGTCCCGAGGAGTGGTAAACTCAGGCACGACGTTGTTGAAAAATGTGTCGCACTGCTGTGACGGCGTCTGCAGGGAGCTACCATGCCGCCAACCATTCACGATCCCGCATAAAAATCGTGTTCCCATGAGTTGGAAATTGAATTCCGCCGCGGGGTTTGCGACGCTAGCCAGCCAACCGACAGCATCGATGCAAGGCGTTTGTGGCCGGTCACTTCATTCGCAGCATTGTGCGAGTTCGTCTGTCGAGAGCGACGTGGCCGCGACCGGACTCTTGTTTGCAATGCCATGGCGCTAGCCCACCATCGTATCCGAGGGGAATGCTTTGTTGCCGTCGCCACGAACGCGTCTCCATTCTCTCGGCAACTACACTTCGACACCTCCCTCATTCATGGCACGTCATGGATTCAATCGAACTCCATTAGTTATGGCCACCATCACAGGTGCCCCGGATCGGATCCAAGGCGCAGTGAAGGGCTGGATGATCCTTACGGGTGCTTGGCATCGTCCGTCCAGAGGGACGTAGGGGGAAATGCTCCCGTCTGGCAAGACAAATTGTCGCCAGGGTCAACCCCAAACACGTTGCAAAACTTGACGTAGCTCGCGATGCGGCTCTTCTCCGAGTCGCGGTTGGGCGGATTCACACCGCACTCGAGCCCGCCATTGATCATGTACGTCACGTAGGCAAACCCGCCCGGCCTGCGGATCGCCTTGTGAATGTTTCCGTTCCACTTGTCTTCGTTCGAGTACCACAGCGCACTCCACCAGAGGAGGTCGCGATCGGACGCAACGAGGTCGGGGTTTGCTACCAGGTCGACACCAGCGGCTGTGCCAAACGTCTTGTAGTTGTAGTTCCAAGAGAGCTGCATTGGACCACGGCCGTAGTACTGCTTGCCTGCCGCGCACGGGAATTCGGCAGACGCTTGGCACATGGACGACTTGTTGAGCTCCTCGACGAAGCGGAGGTCGCCCGACTCGAGGGAGACATGGCCGAGGAAGGCGGCGACTTCTCGGCGGTCGGCGACCTCGTCGCCCGTGTTGGCAAACTCGGGGTACTTGGTCGCTGCCATCGTGACGAGAGATTCGTACTTGTAGAGCGGGTTCGCTTTCGGGAACGCTGCGAGGAAGATGTCTTTGGTTAATATTCGACCAAGACCAGTCTGGATCGGTGCGACGGTAGCGGCGGACGTGGTCGGTGTAGCCGTTGTTGTCACTTGCGTTGGAGGGTTTGTAGTTGGGGGTGCCGTCCCAACAGTCGTAGCCGGCTCCGTCGGTGTCAGAGTCGTCCAAGGCACGACCGTTGAAGTCGACGGCGCCGGGTTTGTTGCGTTGCTTGGTGCGATGGTGGGAGTGTCATTATCTTGTACAAGCACAAGGTCGGAGGCGTTGCTGAGACTCGAGACGTCGGTCGAGTTGTGGATGCCGTTCACGTTTGCGTCGGTCAATGTCGACGACTCGACAGAAGGCTGGGCCAGCACGACAGCAGCGGCGATGCCTCCTCCAACAAAGGCAAGCACACCCAACGAAAAGACTAGCCGGGTGAGTTTTCGCCGAGACACCGCTTCGTCTGTCTCCTCGAGCATGCAAACGTCAGGCGTCGCGCCTAAAAGTTGCACATCAAGTGCCTGCGCATGGATGCACTTGCTGTCCGAATCACGCTACCTGAGCCCATGGTGGATGGCGATGCCTAGCGTCCGCCGAGAAAGCCTGGTGCGAATGTAGAAGTGAAGAAACTTGTGAAACCTCTCGACGCCGTCGAGGTGGCGGCTACGATGGCGATGCATCTGGTTCACCATGGTTTGCTACATCTCCCATTAGTACACAGTTTCGTATTGTATAAAATATATTGAAAGAAGGAGGTTTTTTAAAGTGACAGTTTCCACAAGTACTGTCTGTTCAACTACCTGCTACGTAGTTGAAACTCACCACCTCATTGTATTGTCAACTTCGCACTAATCTGCTCTTATGATATTTCACAAGATATTATGTTTAAAGGTTTTCACTAATGGGAGACACACCAAGAAAGATCGCGCCTCCTTCCCAAGCGGCGGCGCTCTCTCGTTCGAGTATGGAGGAAACGCAAGGGGCCAGAGATAGTCGTCGCTTTGAGTGCCTCGCTGGCGTCATAGTCGGCGGTGACAGCGACGTTGTTGAGATGGTGATTGTACAGGTGGTTTCGCTGGTGCCGATGCTAAAGAACGGGTCATGGGACTGCTTTTACATGGACAGGTAACTGGCTTGCCCGGACATGACGTGCTTGTTCGGCATGTTCAGCGCGGTGGTTGTTTCGGTCACGATGTTTGAACGAGTCTGGAATCGATGAAATCTCACGATCGCAGCGGTCCGCGGCAACCACGTGAAGGTCCTTGTCGTGGGTGCGTCGAGAACAACAGTGCTGTTTGTCTAGTTGGCAACCAAAATGCCGGACGAGAGCTCGCACACCGTGCACGGTCCAAACAACGTCGCCTCAAGAGGAGCCGACAGAGCGAGTTCATCGAGTCCGTGCTGCTGCAAGACAGTGCGAATCCTGCCTGACATCGTCAAGAAGTCGAATCGACGGCGCCGGAGGGACAATTCTGAGCGGCCAGCGAGGCACAACAAGTCAAATATACATAACACAGCGACGCTATCCTAAGTCGGAAGGCCGACCAGGCCATCCTTGGTCGACTCGCATGCGAGCCCAGGGGAATCGGACGATTTGTGGACAAACCAGCAATGGCCTCTCGCGACACCACCCGGGACGATGTCGCGGGAAGCAAATCCATTGAACTGCCACGCGTTGTCAAAACTGACAAACTCGACTTTGAGCCACTCCTTGGTGAAGCTGAGCTCCATAAACCCGTACGGGTGGCCGCTCGCCACCCATTGCCTAGACACAGCAACGTGTGGTTGCGATCGCACGGCCACTCCACGTACGACTTGATCCCGGCAACGTTCTGGACCGAGCCCGAGCTCTCGCTGACGATGCCACCCCCGGCGCCGTTTTGAAAAAAGTGCGTATTCCAAGCGGTGATGTCGTGGTTGAATCCGTGGGTGTGCCCGTTAAACCACGCGTGCACGTTGAATTGTTTGGTCAGGTCGAACCACTTTTTCATCCGCGTGGGGTCCATGTGATAGTGCGGCGAGTAGTGGGTGTTGATGATCTTGAAGTCGGCCGTCGACGCCGCCAGGTCCTTCTTTGCTCCTTCGTACGACACGTCGGCCCACGACTGGATTCGATCCATGCACGCCTGGCGCCATGGTCATCTCTTGCGGACAGCAGCGATGGTTTTCTTACCTTGTACATGTCGACGTTGCCACCGGCGCACAACGGGCTGCCTGGACTGATGTTGTCGCACTCGTCATCGCTTCCACCGTAGCCAAAGCACTGGCAGCACACTTGCTGGGCGCCGTGCGTCGTCGCTTCGTTCGTGTCGAGATTGAAAATGTCAACTGTCACGCCGTTCTTCGTGACGCGATGCACGTAATAGTGCCCTTTCATGATCCATCTACTCGACAAAGTCAAAACGTCCCGTGATGCGCCGTACCGGTCGCCTCTTGGCGAAACGTAGCCGGCTTGGAGGTCGAACTTGGCGTCGAGATACTTGAGCATTTCCGCCGTGCTCGTGCACTTGCGGAACGTCGTATCCGAGTCGCCGCAAATGAACGCCGACCCGCCAATGTCGTGGTTCCCAGCCACGTTGAGCCACGGCACGTTCTCCAACGACGGTGCTCCATACATCTTCTCAAACGTTTCCGCCATGCGGTAATCTCGATCGTCCATGCCCACGCCGTTCCAGTAAATATTGTCGCCATGGCTCAAGATGCGACTCGGTTTTAAAGCCGCGGCCGAGATGCCCATGAGGATCCCGACGGCTTCCTGCGCTCGAAAATCCACCTTGGAACTACGTCACGAACCTTGAGCATGTCGACAATCTCCTTCGTGGCTAAACTCGATCAAACTCGTACCGAGGTAAGCTTGTGTCCAGCTTCCCTTTGTTTGGGTCCGACTTGTACAGCACGCAACACGAACCGGGGTTGGTGCCGTCGCTACCGCGACCTAATGAGAGTGAGGCAACCGCGCCGAGGTGTCGGTCTCAACCCGTTGTGCTGCCCCAATCCCCGATGGCCAACATGGTCATGACGACAGGATCTGTTTCGGGGTTGCTCTTGACTGAGGTTGGGGTCGAGCTGATGGTGGTGCCATTGCCCGAACTGCCACCACCGGAACTAGTTTGCGATGGTGTGGCAGTATTTGAACTGTCGCTGCTGGATGAGTTGTTCGACGATGATGAAGAGCCTTTGCCGATCACGAATGCTGCCGTGACGCCACCTGCGATGAGCACCGCAGCGATGACGCCAATGAGAACCACGCGATTGCGGCCGCGCGGCCGAGAGGCCGGAACTTCCTCCGGCACAGGGAGGATCGTATCCTCGCCAATGCTCGACGTGCGCGCGTATGCGTCGGGATCTACACCATCAGAATAGGGGTGTCTCAATCGGCGCTCGAGATCCGGCCGCCTCACCGCGTCGCGCCATGTGCCACTCCACGGCAACTTGGATTGTGGCGCTGTGGCGGTTTTTTGGTATGTCAGTGTACTACTACTATCGTTAGTACATTGATTTTTAGTACAAGATACTAATACTACTAGGAAATTCTCCAGCTCTCACCACGACGCCAAGAGCGGTGGCCATCGACGGGAGATGCGCTCAGTCGGTTGGGTGGACCGCCGTACACGCGCTGGGGCACGGCATTGAACCTCGTCTTTGCGACCGATGCGCCGGCGACGGAATTATTCCCCTCGTATCGTACGACTACAATGTATTGCAATTTTGTATCGAGAATTCCAAATGGGATGTCAGCTACTACAACCTGAGTCGTGTAACAGGTTGTTGGGTTCCACTCATCTCATGGCCCCAGACGAATGGTGTATGAAGGATGTCGTCGCACTGCAAAGCTTTGAGGCTTTGCATCCAACGTCCGCCTGGGTCGATTCCTCGAGTGTGGCCCCGACACGTGGTTGGCATGTCCTTCTTGTGGCACGGTTGAATATCGATTTATAGAGGCAATTTTGTGGGTCAGGACGTCGACGAAAACTCTGTAAATCAATAAACTTACGGATAATTTCCAGACAATCTTCAGAGACCATGCATTGGAACTCGGTGAAAATGGCGACTCCCCCACGAAAGACTATGCCGCCGACTTGACCACGTGATCGCTCCATGCACACCACAGGTCCTCGACAACACAGCAGTCGTTCAGCTCAACGGTGCCCCGAATCCAGATCTCTGTGTTGTGCACCAAGCGTTCCAATCGGCGACGCAGACACTACATCGTGGCATGCATCATCACAATGCACATGGCTGTTATGAATCACCAGCTCACTGCCCAGTCCTCTTCGATATCAGGTCCACGGCAACCCCACCGTCGCAAATCCTAACACGAATTCGCGCGACACAACCAATCCCAAGACGAACGGACCCAAGCAATCGCGCAACTGAATATGCGTTGTCCCTTCTGCTGCTGAGCGACAGCACAACGGGCATTACTCCTTGGGGTGAAGTGATCCGTCCGGTTATGCGACCGACTTGGCGAGCTTCCCGCCGTCGTAGGTCGCTCAGAATCAAGTTCGCATGGCCCGTCATGGTGGGCAAGTGTAACTGTTCATGCGTGATGTGAAACGGTCGCGTCGGTTTCACCCGACGTCACTCTTTTCGTCACGATGGGCGATGTCGACGAGGATGACGGCGGCGGGTGTGCTGCAGATGGCGCCATTCGTACTCGATTGATGAATTTACGCAACTTGGAAGCCATGCATGCGTTGGAGGATGAGGTGGAGCGGCTCACGCGGAAGCTCCGTGACATCGAAGTTGGTCGTCGGCAAGCGCTGGGTCGCGATCACCTCACGACGGATTGTAGACGCGCGACAAATCCAAGCAGTCGACAGACTCGCACCTGTCGTTTGTGCTGCAGCGCAACCAAGAGCTCGAGCGGATCGTCGTGTCTTCATTTCAAGAAGCCGAGGCGGTGCGGGAGGACATGGGTCGGCTCCAGCGCAAACTCGATGCAGCCAACATCAAACGTCAAGCTGTCGATGAAACGAATCAGCTGCTTGTCGAGGATGGACTCGCACACGTCATAGCCAGGCAGATCGCCGAAGCCCATCTCCACGAACGGATCGAGGTGGCCATCGTGCAATCGTTCCTGGTTGGGAGCTGTCATTGACTGTGAACAGGAGCTGGAAGCACGGCATCGAACTGCAGCTCTCGAGCTAAAACGACTAGAGATTGAAAACCAAGAGCTGATCCAGCACATCCAGGTATCTCAGCACGCGAGCGGAATATGTGCCGATGTTGCTGGCTGTAGGCCGAAAAACAGTCAGTGGATCGATTGCAACGGCTCGTCAAAAATATGCAAGCTCACCAAGACGAACTGACGCAATCCCTGGCTCAGTCTGAGCTTCAGCTGGTGCAGCCCTGAGTTTGGTGAAAAGGAACGAGCTGAAGAGGATCGTCCTGTAGAGTCAACTCCGGTTCGAGAAGGAACAAGCCATCGCAGTGGACACGCAAGCAAAGCATCAGGTAGCTGTGCACTCCTTGCAAGCCCACAAAAAATGGCGCTGACGCATTGTGGTAGGATATCGTGAATGTCCCAGAAGTCACATCAGAGTCGCCCACGGGTTGCGCCGTCTGTAAGGACGTGGAAGCGGCGAGAGACAAGCTCAAGCGGCAGCTCGACAACATGGCTCGGCAACGAGAAAAGCTTGCCAAGCAGTTGCAGCATGAAAAGGCACGACGGCATCCTCGCGATGAATCCATCGCTCACAAGCGTCTTTGCAGGACGATGGCAACGTTGCCCGAGAGAGCGTCGCCGCCAAAGGCGAGGAAAATTTGGCCCTCCGAAGCCAGCTTTCGGTGGCCATCCAGCAATTGGAGAAGGTCTCAAACGACTTCCCATGGCATTCACGGACCCTGCTGTAGATGCGCCAGTACATGAAAGAAACCGAAAGCAGCACGTCATTCGAACGCTACGTCAACTTGAAAGCAGAGAACGTTCTCCTTGTCCAGCAACTCGAACAAGCCAAGTCGCCGCTCAAACCGGGCGGCCCGATGAGCCCCCGCGTCGAAGGGGACGCCCCCGACGGACCCAGGCGCAAGTCAAGCAAGTCCAAGAATGTCGTCATGCCCGTCATTCAGTCCCCTAGCAACAATCAGCAACGTCCAGGGTCATGGTTTCGACTGAATTGCTAGCCCTGCCCCCTCGTGTACATAATCGTATCTGCGAATGCTTTGCCATTGCCTACCAACTCTGTTCCTACTCGTATGCTTGCAATGTGCCCCAAGCATTTCGTGAGCTAGTCGACGGAACTCGTCGGTGCCATCTCCACTGACTAAATATAGCCCATCGCCAAATTCACTGCATCATGGCCGCAAAGCCGCCGCCAAAGGGGACCGACTCGTTCACGCCAATCTTGCCGCTCCTTCCTCGAAAAAGCATCAAAGGCATGGATTCGGTACGGACCCCCTGTGGTGTACCGTCCACTCGTTCACTCGTAGCCCGTCAAGTCTGCCAAGCGACGAAACAGCCACTTCGTCGACGCCCATGGGCGGTGGAAGTCCTCTCTCGAACTGCCCGACGTAGCAGCCGTCGACTCGGGGCAGGCCCTCGAATTGATCAAGGTGGCGCTCGCAGCCGACCCGAGCACCCGCAGTGACACTGATATCCTTTTTCTCCGCGTGGTGTGCGCGCCTGACGAATACATTCCCATGTGTCCTTGACCACCATGGCGGTGCACCTCTCCATCTCGTGTACAAGTGGATGAAGGACAACTGCAAAAACGTACGGCGCCGATTCTGCACCCAGTTCACGACATGTCTAGACCATGATCTTTGGATCGAGCCATGACTACATCGGCCGTGAAATCTGCCGACAAATGCGGCTGATCAAGCTGCCGTGTACGAGAGAGTTTGCCGACGCTCTGCGTGATGGCGAGCATGTTGTCTAGCCCGCGCGATGTTGATCCGGCAGGGCGACACGGGCGACCGATGCTACATCCTGATCGATGGCCTCGTCGACGTGTACTGCAAAGACGATAGCCACATCTTGACCTGCGATGAAACCACGACTGATCTCCAGTACAACGTGGTGCGACGACCTCGAGGCCCGTATCGTGGCATTCAACCCGAGAGTAGGTCAAGGTCACAACGGACTATGGCGAGTACAAGGCGACCCTCGGCCCCGGCGCCGTGGTCGGTGACGTCGTGCTGTGTACGATGCTCTCCATCGAATGCCGGCAGCATGTCACGTCGTGGTGTTGTGTGTGCAGTGAACCCATCCGCGCGGCGAAATGCCACCGTCATCGTGTCCAAACGCACGACCGAATGCTGCCTCGTGTACCTCGGCCGTGTCGACTACGTTCGGCTCATTCGCACCGTGTCGATGGAGACGTCGCATTACGTCCAAGCTGAAGTCCTCGACTACATGTATCTGTTTCAAAAGTGGCCCACGGCAGGTACACGCTCGCGAGGTGGCCGCGGATGTTTTTCGCAGCCCGACACGATCGAGAGCACGTAGCGACCTTCGTTGACGCATAGACCGGATGAAGCTCGTGGCGCAGATGCGATCGACAACGTTTCGAGCCAATGTACGTGTCATGTCGATGCTGTCGAGTGGTGAGCGAAGGCGTTGGTCCGGAAGCGGGCGAATGTTTTGGACCCTGAATGCAACTTCCGTTTCCGGGACGGCGCAGAGCCGGCCGTCGACGAGGAGCTGGCGTCGCAGCTAGCATGGTGCATCTCTCGAGATCAGTGGATTGCGTGTGTGTGTGTGTCATCTCGACCAATTTGTTGACGAAGCCCTTTGTACAGGATTACCTGTATCGAGCAGGAACGATTGCCACGACCATGTTCGTACTCGTGTCGGGGGAAGCGATGGAGCGGCAGAACTTCAACTTGCTCGAGTCGTCCCGGCCATTGGCGTCCAAGCACAACGCGGCCGAGGTCAAGATCAACATTGAGCTCATGTTGCTCGGCCCGGGCGAAATCGCCAGTGCGTAGCAAGCACGTCGTCTATTACAGTCGCAGACGTCCTGTTCGCGGTAGATGAGCATGCTTTCCTCAAGGCGAACCAAGTCGGGGCGTTCGACATCAAAGCAGGTGCCGCCCGCGCACCCGCATTCGTTTGAGTCAACTGCACATGTAGTGACTGACGTGCATGCCTTGTGCATCTCGGTACACGCGGTGGCGTACGACGAACGCGCTGACGGCGTCCGCCATGTAGCGGCACATGTTCGAGTGCATGACAGTGTCCGACAAGGATTTTGTCCAAGATATGTATTTGAAACTGGTCGCGCTGGCGGCCGATCGCGACGACTACCGGCGGGAACGACTCGAGTTCGGGTCGCGGTACCCCGACGCCCACGTGGCCATGTGTGTTGGGCTGCGATATACTGACGCTGATCTCGTACGGATGCGGTGCGCTCTAGGACGTGGCACTTGATGCGGATGGGCAACTTGCGATGCGCGCGGTGCGGTCGGCGAGGCCACGTGGCCAACGAAGTCGCTCGGTGCCATCACGACCGCAAATACGACTGGGCGCCGCTGCAACTCCGCATTGAGAAGCAAGTCGGACAAACCCAGGCTGTGCTCCAAAAGATGACGCGGGCAGCGAGTGCGGTCGTGGCGTTCGAGCAACTCTCCCATCCCGTGTCCAGGTAGGCTGCGTTCCAAAAAGGACATGTCCATGGCGAATCTGTTGCTTAGACGTTCGCCGCCTCTCCATCTCGACCACCTCCTTCAAGAAAACGATGCCTTGTTGCCGTCGGCGAAAGATCAGTTGGCTGAATGCTGGCGCCAGCGTCTCCGAGTATATCCTTGCAAAACGCTCTCGTCCATGCAAAATCGGACGATGCTTGCAACGGAAGGGACCAGGGACAGCGATCGCGACGATCGAGGTCGTGGTGTCGGCTGCAAGAATCCTATTTAAACGAACGCACGATAACGACACCGGGATTTCCCTGAAGTTGCGTGGGATGGACACAACGACACAGGAAACGCTAACAATGTGGACGCGAGCAGTCGCACCGACGTTTGCGAGTCTGTGCGGCAAATGCTGAGCTGGGCAGTTCAAGTCGCTAGCGTTCACTTGTGTTGTCGAGAAGGTGCTCGAGACTCTCGTGCACTTGGCGCTGTCCTTGGACTCCGTGTCTTGGTATCATTCAGCTCTCGCGCACGATGTGCCATCCGCCTGTGGACCACGCAACTCGCCAGCTCCGTTCCTTTGACGTTTTCGAGGCATGCGAGCGCGGTGGATTCGCCAAACGCGCTCCCACTACTTCGGCAGACACATGATGCGCTGAATGCCACGGGAAGGCGCGATGCCACGCCGACGGCACGCAACTTTTCGTGGGACAATATCAATTTCCACAGGTTCTTGAAGCAGAATGTCGGTCCATCGAGTGTATTTCGGTCGACGTGGAGTTCCAGCGACGTCGGATAGAGCAAGGCATGGTGCCAGGGAAGGGCAAGGCGCAAGGCGCGCCGATCTTTCTTCAGAAAACGTACACGCTATTCGAGAATGCCCCGGAAGAGGTGGCCGGATGGGCCAACAACGGCACGACGGTCGTGATCAAAGACCCCGACGAGTTTGCCAAGTCGATGCTGCCCAAGTACTTCAAGCACAACAACTTTGCGTCGTTCGTGCGCCAGCTCAACTTTTACGGGTTCCGCAAGTACAAGAAGGACGACATCTTGATTTCGGAGGACGAGACGACCAAGAACTGGTGGGAGTTTTACCACGACAAGTTTCTCCGCCACGCCCCGGAACTCATGGTCCACATCCGCCGAAAAACGTACTCGGAAGGACCGGACGGCCAAGGCGGGAGCCACGGCGGCCAGGAAAAGGAAGAAGTTGAGGTGCTCAAAGCTCAGGTGACGACACTCCAGTCGCAGCTCGAGCAAGTTACCGCCCAAATCACAAACCTCACGGATGTCGTCACGACTTTGTTGCAGTCCAAGTCGCATCGGCGGCAACTGCCGCCGCACGACGACGTCTCCGCCAAGCGGTTCAAGTCTGAGAGATAAGATGATTTTCCGCGACAACATTTAAATGTAAAGACTAATGCGTGTGGGGGCAATTATTCGTAAAGCGAGTGGAAGGCGGCGGCGTCTCGACTCGCGGCGCCACTATGTCTCTGAACAAATCGTTGCTCTGTCAGCTGTGGAGGGATGGTTTGGAGAGATGTACCGATGGACAGCCCTGTTGAGCCGACGCAAAACCACCTTACGACTGGAAAAAGGGGCACCTCGCCTGGATGGCGGCAGTGTGCTCGAGGCGCCGCCTGAGGTTTCACGGCTGCAGCTCGAGTGCATGGCACCGCAAAAGGCATCGTATTCAACGCGACGGCAGATGCACCTAGAGTTCTCGACCTGCTAGACTACGACTGCACCCTCTGTAGCTTCCTCTTGGCGTTGGCCGCTGTGGGTTTTGACTTCTTGACAGAGGCTGCGGTGGAAACGGCGGCGATCACGCTCGGTCGGCTCGATGTCGAGTTGACCCGTCGGTTCTTCGTGCTCGTGGGCTGGTGTTTCTGCTCTGGTGAGCTTCCATCAACCTCAACATTCGACTTGTTGGCTTGAGCCAACTTCTTGGGTTTCTCGCGTGCGGCCGTCAACGGGCGCGGCTTCTTGCCGGCCGCAGATTTCGCAGCGAGCTGTTGTTGGCTGTCGTGGTACAGCTCCAATGGCGTTTTCTTGATGCAGCCGACTGCTTGATCATCCGCGCCGACCTTGGCGATGGACGACACACAACTTGACCGACGTCCCTCGCTGCGAACATCGTCAAATCGGCTTGCCCACAGCGGTGTAACGTGCTGTTCAAAAACGGCGTCATCTGCGATTCCTTGGCTCACGCAGCCATAGTACGCTTCGAACTGGGCTGCGGTCACAAATGGCCCAGGAAGCACCGTCTTGAGGAGGTCCGTAGCCTCGACGGCGGTGGCCTTGCCACTCACGACCGACGGATGTTGCGCTGGATCAAAACGGTCCAGGAGGTCCATCTGCGGCACTTGCCCGCACTTGTCAACGTCCAGACTGCGATACGCCCGACGCACCATCCCCAGGCGCGTGGCAGACAGTGGCGAATGCAACTGTTTGGCTACGTGGCGCAAATCTAGCGCGTTGTCCACTGCAAACCACTCAAAGATGACGCGCCAGTCTTTATCTGACAGGACAACGCCGACCGAGTGCTTCATGACATCCTTGAACGCTTGCAACGATAGCTTTGTGTAAGAAGTTGCTGGCGCGCCTGCAGCGACGTGATCCCCACAACCCGTTAACGACCCGCACAGTGCCATCCATCCCATCACGCCATTCTAATCAGTTTGCCATGGTCATCGAGTGATCTGGGGGCAGTTGTTCGTTCGCACAACACACCTACCGCATTAAGTTGGGTGCGAATGCGCGTAAAGATGCCTCGCATGCCAGCATCCAGTTCTTTCATGTGGCCATGTGACGCCGTTCCTGCGTTGCCAATGGTGCTGGTGGCGGTGGCCTTGTCAGTACTCTCGTACAACAACGAGCTAGCCGAGTCATGGCTAAGCCAAGGCGCTTGGACTCGAGAAAAGTTTGGTCGAAATTTCCCTGGAAGAGCTGTTCCAGGCCGATCGACTGCCAAGCTGGACCCTGGTCTGGATGGACGATTAGTGGCTGGCGTGGGCGGTGCAATATTCCACGTCGAACACACGGCTTTGGTGAAAGCAGCGTCGTCGGCGATCGAAGAGCTCACGTGGGTGTAATGCTTGGCAAAGTGGGTCCACGAGATGGAAGTGGTGGGGCTGAGGTTGGCCATGGCGGCCAAGAATTCATTACGAACTTCGTCGATCGTCCGGACGCCAGATACGACTTCTGTCAGCGAAGACCCGTCAAACTGCCGCCGCAACGTACTCAGGTTGACGTAGCCGGTATGGCTTGGGTCGAGGGTTGCAAAAGCGTGTGCCACAAGCTCCAATCGGTTGCCTTCCAATGGAGTTTCGAGTGCCGCGACCCACTCGGACGCTTGGATGGTCCCATCTCCGTTTGCATCGAAAACGCCAAAGACCGCTCGAAGGTCCTTCTCCGTGGCTGACAAGTGTAGCGTTTCGACGACGAGCGCCTTGAATGCGGAAAACGTAAGCGCGCTAGCCCCTCCTTGAAGTTGCTGGCTCAGCTTCTGAAATGCTTGCAGACCACAGGATTGCAATTGGGCTTTGAGCTGGCGTAGGACAAATGCGACCCCTGCAAACCCAATTCATCGTCACACAAGTTGCTGGGAAATCATGTTGAACGAAATGAACCTGCTTCGCTTGGCAGTGTCGTCGCCACTTGGCGGACTTCCGTCGCTTTGTCGGGGCGAGCGGCAGAGGTTGTGGGGCGCGACACGCCCCCTCCGATTGTATCTCGTGTGGAAGTGGCTCGTTTCTGCGGAGGTTTCACGCGTTTTCGAGACAAAATGTCATCGCTGGCGTCGCCCAGCTGCCGCAACACTATAACGCACGATGTTGTTCGAACTCGATATAGCAGACCTCGCCGTACCTTGGCCAGCGTTCTCTTTGTCTCGTTGAAGGGCCTTTCCAAAACAAAAGGTGGGAGGCGGCAACGTGTACGAAGCGCTTTTCGAGTGACCGATCGCGGTCGCACCATGCCGAGATGTGAGAAGCTTTGTCGGGTGCTGAGGGAGGTAGTTCAGCTTGTAAAACGACACAAATTCGTCGAACGAAATCGTGCCGTCGCCGCCCGTGTCTAGTTGAAAGAGGGCTCTCACGATATTCTGGGGGGTCGGGTCCTCGCCGAGAGCCTCAAGAAGCTTTCCAAGCTCGCTCTGATCGATCACACCATCTTTGGACGTATCGACACAGTCAAAGATCACACGTGCCTGCTCGACCGCCGTTGCCATCGACAAAAGAAAGATGCGAACCGTCGCGATCCTGGATTGGTGTCCCAGCATTTTGACCAATCCGTGAATTTACAGCCTTTTCGAGTCCAATTTTTTGGCGAAAAACAAATAAATTCAAGCGGAGACAATTCGGCTGCCGCACATTGCAGCGTGCCGGGGTCAACCCCTCGATGCTAGCACTCTTGACGAACTCTTCCGCAGCGTCGGTGCTGCACGTAGGACTGATGTGCATTCCCATATAAAGCACTTGAGGCGAAGTTCGTAAGCGGCGTAACAGGTACGTAGGCAAGTGTCGCCATCGTTGCGGCGAGGGGATCGTCCGAGAGCATCTGGGGTGGATCGACCCGAGACGCTTGAAAACATGAAAGGAGCTCTTGCCACGAGATTACAGCTCCATCTTTGCTGCTTCGAAAGTTATGCCACGGCGATTATATTCAGCAACGACGCCCTGCTTGCTGCGTATGGTGTCTGTGATTTGGTGCAGGCGCAAGAGGAATGCTCCGAGATCAAGTCAGACCCGCGGGAACTATTGCCGGTTCCTCTAGTGAAATAGATGTCGAGATATCAGACTCCAACTCCACGGCACACGAGATACATTCGACGGTGGTCTGGCGCATGCCACAGAGTCGAGTAAGTGGCATGCGCAACATGTACCTGGACCACTACTTTGAGCGCCCAGCCAGCCTGTTCCCTCAGTCGCTGTGCGCAGCGATGCAAACCAACGTGGTGAGGGCTTTCAAGGATTGAGTACCCTCTCATACGTGTTTCATCGTGGTTGTCCCCTCACTGTGTCCTGGCCCTGCTGAACAATCAGCGATCCGTACGCGTGATATCGTTAGCAGGGCGGTTGTGCTTGAGGAATAACGTGATGGATCGCCTGCAAGATCATTCCAATGGATTCGGGACTTGGACGCACAATAAGTTACTCTCGCAGTCATCGCAGGAGTCATACGATGGTACGATCTCGGACAAAATCACCACTGGGAGTAGTCAATACAGCGGCGGCGCTGTCGCTTGTAGGCGGTGCCAGCACGACCTGTGCTGTGCACGTGTTGAACGAAGCAGCTGGTGCAGCCTTGACAATGCTTGGCGAAGACGGCGTCGGCGTTGGTTGGGGCGAAGTGGAGGGGCCGAAGTACCAGCCCAATGCGCACAAAGTCAATCCACCCACAGCGCGGGCCATGGCAAATGCTTCCACAGTCATGCCAATGTCCATCGCGACCCGAGCAAACGCGGTGGCGGCCAGCGACGCCAAGAACGACCCGGTGGCCACTGGAACCACGGCGATGCACCATTGATATCTCATCACGACAAGTCCACTTGCCATAGCTGCGATGACAGTGGCCAAGTACACAGCCTCTTCTTCAATGGACACGTCGTTCGTCGCAAACGTAAGCAGGAGCGTTGGATGGTGCTGAGACAGCACAGCGAACAAGGCATCGACAATGCCGAGGGGCGCTGCAGCCCCGAGAAAAAATCGTCGGAGACCGATCTGTTTCACGGGGGAAAACGTCGTGCCCAGCACAATTGCTGTCCCAGCGATCGCCAACGGTACAAAGAGCTCCGTCACGGGCAGAGCAGGGGCGATGCACACCGAAACCACGAGAGCGGTCGACACACACACGACCAACGCGCGGTCGTGGCCACTGAAAGTGACAGCAAGACTTACGGCGGCTAGAATACCCAAACAGATACCCGCCAACGTGTGGGTGGAGCACACGTCGACGAGCACAGCGATCGTCGTGGCAGCGCTGGCAACGTACACATACGGCCACAGGAGGTAGGGCTTCCGCCATGCGATGTATATGCCCATGGTGATGCTGACGACGATGCCTGCGGCGGCGTACACGGCCGGTGCAACCATGGCGTGACTTGAGGAGTGGGCGAAATTTATTCCAAGTGGCGACAGATGCGGCTGCGCCACCTGGCTCGATGCACCGCGATTAACGATCCAACTCGAATCAGAGCGACAGTAAGATGGCGCTGTATCGATCGCTCGTCGTTTCCATCAAAAGAATGCTTACAACCAACCTGAAACACGCAAACGAAATGGCGGTAAATCGATGATTTCTCGTCCCCTTGCCTCTCCACCAAAGAAAGGTCAAAGCGCACGAGGTTGGAGGCGGCCAGGTCGGTCGAGAAGCGCAAGGCGCGATACGAGCGAGACACATGAGTTGCGAGCAGTGATCTCATGTGAACGATAAAGCCCTGACGAGACTCAAGACCTTCGATCCACCTCAGAATCGAGACGTCACAACTCGGCACTGGCTCGTTCCGTGGTTGAGTTACTCTGCTGCCGGATCAAAAGGACGAAGTGGTCCGTGGCAAGGCGCACCCCATGGGATGCCTACGAATGAAGCGGTTTGTCCTGGCGCTGTCCGTCGGCACGAATCGACAGCAGGACAAGTGAGTTCGTCCAACGTGCACCCTGCAACCGAGAGAGCACTCTCTGGTTTTGTCCAACTGCGAAAGAACCATCCTGGGTGCACATGGAGAAGCCCTGTGCTACATGACCATCTCCGCCCAAGCCAAGTGCTTCAGCTGGATCCAGCAATCGTCAAAGAGTGTAGCCACGATGCGGTAGAGGGTGGGTACCAACTCGATTGAGAAAGCTTGGTAAATCAGAATGGCAGCGCATGGTGCGGTTGGCCTCGATCGCACCCACGAGAAACCCTCGCAGGGTCATGTGGCAGTCGTGCGAGAGTGACACGGGAAGCGTCAAAAGGAGCTCCCTCGTTGAAGGTATGAGCTGCCCAGGTGCCACACACTTTCGCGGCTGAGGCTGCAGATGAACAGGAGCGTCACCATGCAGTTGAGCCCAACCAGTTCTTACGACACTAGACCAAGTCACTACGCGGCTTCACCTGCAGCCTTGGCCGCAGCTGGCGTTGTCGAACTGCAGCCAACTGGCCAGCCCAGTGCAGGCAATCGCAACTGGCCTAGTGACGTACAAGCATGGGGCAATTCCCTTGAAGTAGTCGGGTGCTCGAGTCGACTACTTCGCCATGCACGAGAAGAACCACCCACCCGAGAGGCTGGAGCGGACAATGAGAGCGCGATGACGAACCTTGGACCCCACGGCGCTAGCCACGAATTTGCTAACGCAATCGCCACGAGCAGTTGAATTACCCAGCCAAATGTCGACGGCATGTGGAATGTCACTAGGCGTGTTGACGAGTTGCCCGAAGAGGACGGGACCGAGCCACTTGGCGTGCTGACCAGTTGGGGCATTGTCCTCGTGAAGATCGAGATCAAGAGGGACGCGTTCGCTCCAAGCACGTAGTGCTTGGAGCGCGCCGATCGGTCGACGACACAATTGCGAATGGTGAGCACCACGATCAAGCTCGTTCTACACACAAACCACGCGCCTCGTCCAACCGACGCCGCGATGAACCCGACCGCAACGACAGACTGAATCGCCGCCAGTCGTGGCAGGACGACTCCTCGGCCACCGACAATGAGGGAGATCGGGATCGCGACGAAGCTAAAGATCAAGACAAACACCGTCAAGAGCGACGTCCGCATGGTCACCTGCCTCGGACTCGATTTGCATGTTTGTTTTCCCGACAGATTCGTGGATTCCAGAAGATAACAAATGTTGAAACATTTCACGTAGCGGATCGAAGGCTCGTGGCCAACATGTACCTGGTGAAGGCGCTAGAATCTCAATGCTCCTCTTGATATCACGGCGATGGAGCAGCACCAACCCACGTCTCTGGAATTGATTCTCCTATGCGGCTGTCGTGCAGCCTTCGTGGCAGTACTTTGGCAGAAGCTTCCACGTGGCCGCGGGTTGCTGCCAACGCCATCGCGTCCGTGGAGCGTCCGTCCTTTCGATGCATGTACACATACTGAATCTCGACCAGGTGGCCGCGCCGCCGACCGCGGCCAGCGTCACTTCTCAGAGAGTTGAGTACTTTGACAAATGCAACAGTGATTAGCCGTTCCCTGGACGCAGCGACGTCTGTCACCAAGGCGCATTGCTTAGAGCATGTGTCAACACGCCGTGGTGACGAAACGATAGAAGCACGACAGCGTCGAGATCGCTTCGTTCCATCGCTGTGCTTGTCACTTTGGCGAAGATCGGCACAAGAAAATGCACATCATCCATATGACGATATCCCGAAGTCGCGACGAAGGTGTCCGGAAATTGGCTGCATCACGTGGCTTTCGCCGGATTTTTCATGTGGTGGTGCTGCCAGAGCCACGTGACTTGGGAGATCATCTTGAATGGTATCGAGCATGAAATCTATCCACAAGCACATGTACTCGTCATGAACGATCCTCGATGCTGTGCGTTTTCGTATTGAAGCATTCATATTGATTTCAATTGTCGATTCATCAACGGCGACAGCCGCACAGGAATGGCGGCCAAGAGCAAAGCCATGCATGAACACGGGCTACGCTTGAGACACCAAAGGCTGGGATTCACTGTTGGGTCTGGCTGGGGGCGATGGGACCTTGGTGTTGAACTGAGTGAAGGCGGCCGCCGCCGTCAGCACGACAGCCACGGGCCACGAAATCCAAGGACGCAGCGCGAAGATTTTGAAATAGTCGGACGACGAGACGAGGACAGGACCAGACAAGGCCGCGCCAACGTAATGGACAGCAAAGAAGATCCCCGTCGACGCCGACGACCAAATGTAGAGTTGACGTTGGGGTTCGGCATCTGCGTACACCATGAAGAACCCGGTCGAGATGGCCAAAAAGATCGCAACAAAGAGACATGTCACCCAAGAGGTAGCGCTCGGGACGCCAAAGTAGATGGCGCCGCTGGGTTCGGTCACGGTTTGGACGAGGAACATCGAGTAGATGGTGTACACTGCATGCAACGGGAGAGCGGCAGCGACGAGCACAGGGCTGGCGCCTTCGACGATCCAAATCACAATAGCCAGAGCGGGAATGGCGGCCAAGCCCAAGTAGTAGGCGAATTCACTGATGTACTCAATCGAGTACGAAAAGATGAAGCAGATCGAGACGGCTGCAACGAGCGCCGACAGCTTTGGGGCCAAGATGCCGCGGAACGCGACGTACAGCGTCAAAGGAAGGATGAATACGCCAAAGATGACTAGGTAGATGCTTGTAAACATGTCGCTGAAGTCGCCGAGATCGCGGAGGGCAGATGCCATGTCGTTGTGAATTCGAGTGCCAATTGCGAAATGGCTGTGCCTTCCATGTGTATCGATTCCGATGGGGTCAGGATTCAAATATATAAAGTTCAAGCATCCATTCGCTTATGTATTAGAGTCATGTAACCTGGCTAAACATGACGATATTTTTAAATACCAAAAGCTGTAAGGCGCAATACAAAACATTGATATTTATTTCGAATTATCGACGTCCAGGTGGATGAAATATGCAAAATGCCCTGCGATCTTCGTCCACTGCAAGTGATGCCGAGTTCCAACTGGAATTCCCAGCAACGCGAGATCTGCACGGTGGAGCAGCAAAAGAGACGAGTCTGCACCGTCGGCAGGCGGTGGAAAGATTGCCCACGTCCGCCATTCCCATTGCGTAGCTCTGCTTTGTACGTCGCCATACCCCTGGTTACGGTTGCAACCACGGTAGAAGAGGAGTCTGAGTTCAATGATACTACGGTCGGTATCTAAAAAAATATTACATATATATAAATATATTACAAAATATTCTTTTGGCAGATTTAAAATGCATGTCAGTCGCGCATTTTGGAGGGGTGCGGCGGCCGAGAGTCCGCCTCGAGAAATGGCAGGGTGTGGCTCACCAGCAGAATAAGTTACGGCACGACAGGATGTCTAGTCTCGCTTGAGGAACACGACGATTCGGGTGGCGACGGCATTGCTCCACGCGTTCAGGGCAGTGCACAGCGGGTCGAGGATACACTCGGCGAGCAAGAGAAAGTTCATCGCGTAGGGATTTGACAGCCCCGAGAGCATGGCAAACGCGCACATGACGATGGCCACCCCTCCATTTCGCACGGGGACGACGGCATACGACCCGAGCGTTGACAGCACAACGATGAGTACCAGCTTCGACGGTGTCAAGTACGGTAGCAACCCCGCGTTCGAGAATATCCACAGCGTCGAGAGACAAATGTACAGCCCGCCACCGCCCTTGTTGCATGAGATTCCAACGTCCAAGGCAAATCGGGACGTCAAGGACGGAGAGAAGCCCATGGTACGGTCGATACTACTGGCGAGGACCGTGTGCCCCGCTCGAGTCGACGACGTCCCCGCGTTGTACAACAACGCCCCCTTGACTTGAAGCAGATACCGCCAAGGGTTCACTTGCCCTCGCGTCCACACGATTAAGATCAGCGGCAGGACCACCAGTGCATGGATTGCAGACACAATGCCAAAGCAGACGAGGTACCACACGAGCCGCACGAGATCGTTCGACGCCGACGCAACAAAGACGTTGTGTGTTGCCATCGAGATGGGGGTAGCAATGAGCGACATCAAGGCGATGGGGAGCCCAGAAACGACCCAACTCGTCATGATCTTCAAGATTTGGGCGAGTTCGCGGATGCAGGCCAGGAGCAAGGTGTTTTCTGTCGTCCGGGACAACGAGCCGACGGCAAGGCCGAGGGACGCCGCCCCAAGGACAAGATGAACCAAGTTGATGTTGATGGCGTCAGTGAACGGCGTTTGAGATTTGAAGAGCACTTCGATGACCTCGGGCAAGGACGTTTCGAGTTGGCGGAAGCGGTTTACTTTCGGATCGATCTCGAACACGTGGTCCAGGTCCGAGAGGAGATATGCAATCTTGCTTTCGATGGTCCCGTTGAACGGTGCGCAGTTCAGCTCTCTCGTCGTGGCGTTCATTTGCAAGAATGTGGTGGCAGCGGTGGGGCACCTGAGGAGCACCGTCGGTTGACGGAACGTGTACGTCGATCCTTGAAAACGATCGAGAAAGAGCATTCCAAATGCAAATCCTTGGCCGACGACAAGCAACGTCGTGCACAATGAAAACGCGACAACGCGCCACCCTGCCCGGCCCACACGTCTGGACGATGATCCCGAGATCTCGGCCGCCACCAGCACGACATTCACAAACGCTTGAGGAAACACAACGCACGTCAGCGCTCGCAGGTACAAGATCCCAAGCCGGCTGATGGATCTCTGGCACAACCGATCGAACGATGCATCGCACGTCTTGAGGGCGATCTTGATGTCTTCTGTCGTGAGTATGTACGCCAGGAGCAACCCGAAGCCAGCGCCAACCAAGGTGCCAGGGGCACCCAAGTAAAATCGCCACCACCAGGCACTGGACTCTCGCTCTTGGAGGAGATTGCGACGAGTCGGCAGCATGCCCATGGGGTCGACGGCATGGTGACCTGGTTGAAAGGTTGAGCTGCTCTCAACAACCGACATCTCCTCGCTCGGTGCATACGTCGGCATCTGTGCAGGAAATCCAAAATGCTCGTCACTTACGTCGACCGTGGAGGTATAAAGGGCACTGCGACACGCGAGAAAAATATATAGTTGCAGGATTAGTTGATATCACCCATAAAAATCAAGCAACATGGCGTCTTAGCCCATGATTGGCCAAAGGAGAATACATAGTGACCTCTGATTGGATCAAATTCTGCATCAGTCCATGATTGGCCAAATATGCCATGAATGTCAACGAACTGCCTCTCTGAAAAAAGTAGCCGTGACCATTCCTCCCGCAGCGAACGCCGCAACACAGAGTACGCGAGAGCTCAGTCCCTTCTTGCGTGGTGGATCTTGGAGAGATCTGTTATGTCTGCGGCCGAGAAGCGATGAAAATTGATATCCAGGCTTGCCTTGATGATGGATACAATGACAAAGGCACTTGCCGAGGCAAACCCTCGTATGGTCGAGCTGTCATGAGAAACGAATGTGTCCTTTCCTTTTGAAAACGAATGAATGTCTTAACATAACATTTTTATAGATGGACACTGTCGCGATGTGCACACCTCACACAGAATGACCTGCTTCACCAAGGTCAGAAAACCTTTCGCTTGCTTCTCCTAGTCACCACGCTGCATCACGCTGAGGTATCGTCGGACGGCAAAACCAGGGTCGTCGTGTGGTCGCAATCTCCAGTCTCCAGTGGATAAAAAAATGCATATTTTGTAGTACCTTTTGGCCAATCAGTGTCCGATTTGGATCGGTAGAATCGTCGGGAAAACGATTTTACACTCGATATCATGGGTGCATGCACAAAAACATCAGAATTCGACGACGTGCTGCTGTCGAGGGTTTCCCACGGTTGCGTGCGTGTGGAGGGCGCTCCGGTGGCGTGTCACCGCGGACACGTACTTCATAGAGGCATTTCGTGAAAACGCGGATTTTGAAGAATCAGGGAGTTTGGACAGCCATCATGCCCACTTTTTCCGACTGGAGCGAAACGCCAAGACGCCGGGAAGTTACGCTCACGGCCTGTGTGTCGGTGTTGTGCGCAATATCCTGGGGTCGGATGCTGTCTTGTCGCTTGCGACCTTTTTGAGATTTCGTGCTTCTACGGGTTTGGCCGGTCTTCATACAATTGTTACAATTTGCTGGTGCAACACGTGTGTCGCAACAACAAAATCCTTCCACGGAATTCCATGCGACATATACCATTTATTGGATTTCACAGTTTACGGAGTAAGACAGCTTTTGATCATGTCCCTTCAACAGTACATTCAACGTTAACATTACTGATTATCTTGAGGTATTGATTCTTACAATTATATCATTTTATTGACGTGGATTACGAGAATTTGGTCCGTTAGACGGACCTTTCTCAGAGGGGACCAACGCGAGGGTGCCGTGGGGGGCTTTCGACCTCAACTACTCGACGGCACATCCATCGGCTCAGTTGGTTCAAGACAAAATTGGGGCGGTGCGTCCGTATAGACTGCCGCTACCTTCTTCCTGATTCACATCCCGACCAGGATGCCTTGCTGAGACAACCACGGGATTTGGCAGGGGCGCGGTCATCCAAGGGGAGAGGCGGTCGCCACCGCATCAAATACTACCATCGGGTAATACCTGGCTCTTCGTTTGTGCCGGTGTACCCAGCCTTGTAGTTGGACACGTATGTACACTTGAACAGCAACAATGTTTGGATGAGGAACTGGGATTCTGCACCACGGCGTGTGTGTGCGGCGTGAGCCCGATGAAATGGATCGTGTCGAGCGAGTCATGATTCGGACCAACAAGGTGGCGCACGAGCCGGAGCATGCAACGACTTGTCCCAGATCCGAACGGATTCCGGAGGCGTCGGGTAAGGTCGACCATGGTCGCATCGTACACGGCTTGTACTCCATCGGGTTCGATTGTACCAGCTGTATACTGCATGGAGCTCGCTTGGGTCAGGCTGCGATTCCATTTCACGCCATTCCACCCGCAAGAGAATTCCCAAGTTGCGTGTCGCATGCAACGGATCACCATGCAATGTGGCCGTTGGACAGAGCGTCGCCCAGGCTTTCTTGCTCAACTGCGCAACCAAATTTATACTTTGCAGGTCTAAAAACACACATGCCGACCATGTTCATCGGCATGACGATCTTGAAGCTATCCTGGACAAGGTGACACTGTTCTGGAGGTGTTTTACTTCTAGGAGGCATCCATCTGAGCCGTGCGCTTTGCAGGGAGCAATATGTGATGAAAATCGACAACAATGTGGCATGCCCAAACTCGGTCAAAGCGGTTCCTGACTCTTCGACGATCCATCGATGTAATTGGCATACCCGCCATTCCCCCATAGAAGACTTGCCGGCGTCCCCGCTCCAGAGAAAAGCGCAGAGTGTGTCGATCATCAGTCCCATGGCGGCATCGAGATCCCTCGGGTCAGCTTGCCTCGTGGCATCTCGCATATTTGGCCAAGATCCATCCTGTCCAGAAGTCGTGGAGGATGCAGTGGAGCTGGGCCACGGCGACTAGCATTCTCCGCTAGTTCTACAAGTACAAAACGCCAAACATGCTCACGATGGTGACCGAGTGGGTGGCGTTCGAGGACCTGACGCTTCTCTGCGGCCTCATGGACGACCACGTAGTGGTCACAACTCGGTCCACGTCAATGTTGATTCTCGCGGAGGGTGTTGTAGATCCTTTTGACTTTGAACTCGTATACGCTAATTTCTGTCAATGGATTTATTGTCAACGTTTGGGTCGACAACTTGCCTAGTGCCAACAAACCCGACGCAGCAAAGCTCGCCATGCACGCCGGATTTGTGACGACTGCTGCGTTGGTCGCAGTCGTTGCAAGGTCCCTCGTGTGCGGCCACCACGCTATCCAAATGCTCTTCTTACACGACACAGTCGTGCGGCGTCGATGGTGTAAACAAGGAAATTCTTTTACGGTTTTTGGCCGCACTCGGGCACGGCCTCCGCCATCCTGTCCATCGCTGAGATTTAAATATCCGCGGCTCGTTCAACCGTGCCTGCCAAGGCCGATGGGCCATCAAGACATTGGCACGCACGTCAACGCGGCGGCATACATTGTCGTGGGAAATTTCCTTGGCGCTTGTACTGCCACGGGGGTTGGAGGCCTTTGTGTCGGATTCCCTGGTGGCTTCCGTCGGAAACTTGGGCCATTTGCATGTCTGGTTTTTGCACAGCATAGATTGGAACGGCATGGCAGCCGATGCCGCCCAAGTGAAGCGCACGCCATAGGGCTCTATGGTCATGGTTGTATATAGTCGCCCTCCACATGGGGCCCTCGCAAAGGATTGCAACATGCATCCATCACTGTAACAACAACGAAATGGACGGTACATCCGTCGAGTCCATCCATTCGCGACCACATTTTGAATTACATTGTTTGCCACACGTGAATTTGTCAGTCGTCCGAGCTGGTCGAAGCGCTTGACACCCCTGATTCGCCGCCACTAGACGTTAGAGCAACGAGTTCGCACGCGCCACCGCCGTCGGGGTCGATTGTGTCTGGTGGTAGGAGCGCAGACGCAGCCGTCGTCAGCAGCAAGCAAGTGCCGTAGACGGCGCACACAGCAGCAACCGACATGGACTCACTATCTGCAATGAATGGGGTAATAAAGCCTCCCATGCGGCACATTGCGGACGCTATGCCATGCCCGCTCGTTCGAACTGGGCAAAAAGTTGCTTCAGCACAGACGCATGCGTGGGCAATGGAGTCGTACCATGGGTAGGGAAAGCTTCGGGGGTCGCGAGCCACGTTGTGCTGGACGCCCCCATGATGAACGCCCGCGCAGCCATTGCCAACATCGTAAGGACGATGAGGTTCAACTCGAACGCGGACAGCATCACTGCCAACGCACACAAGAAGTAAAGCGCGATTTGTGTCTGTCGCCGCCCCATCTACACTCTCATTGTTGACCTCCCAGTACAGGGAATCCAGGTGGACGAAATGCACCTTGTCCACGATCGCCATCGTTAGGAACACGCCGAGAACTTCGGCAAGAGCAGCGAGAAAGATGCACGTGTAGTTGAAAGCGTTGCCGTCCTGCGGCTGGAAGATACGTGGGAATAGCAAAATGATGCTATTCTCGGATCCACGGCAGATTAGAGTGATGCCCGAAGCAGTGCAGTCGTCGTAGAGATCCAACATGAGGATGTGCACTTGTGGCACGTACCCGTAGTAGCTCAGCCCAAAGCCAAACCAGATTAAAAACAGCATTGCACTCACTCGCCGCAGCGCGGGTCCACACAGCTCGGTCAACACCCCGCGCGAACCGCGACGAGGCAATTTGTGGTACTTGGTCGGCTCGGAAGGCTTGATTCGAAGCGCCGAAGGCAGCGTTGTGCCGTTCAAATGCGCCGTCGCGTGCAGCACATGAATGGCTTCGTCGTAGCGGCGCTGGTCGACCAGCCACTTGGGCGACTCTGGCATCCATGGGAACGACAACAGCACAAGCACCAACGGCGTCGCACACAGACCTGAGGCAGCAAGACGACGTCAACAACACCTGTGATGGAAAACAGAACTGCACCTGTAAGCCACCGCCAGCCCCACGACTCGATGACAACCCATGCCACCACTGCGACGAACGCTATACCGACAGTCCAGTACAGTTGAAACAGCAGCAGCACACGAGCCCGTTCATTGTCTGGCAGGAACTCGGCCATTAAGTCGAAAGGTACCAGCGCGCCTTCAACATCCATCGTTTAGAGTGATGTGGGATACAGCGAAGTGATGTACCGGACACACCGAACCCAACCATGGCACGGCACACCATGAGCCACGACACATCAGGGACAAACGCGGACAAGATTCCGAAGATGGCAATGCACAGCGCGCTGAGCAGGAAGCCCATGCGGCGGCCAAAGCGGTCGGCGAAGAAACCCCAGAAGAGCGCGCCGGGTAACTCCCCTGCAAACACGGCGGCTGTGATCCCAGCTTGTTGCGTTGACGTGAGTTGCCACTCGTCCTTGACGAGAACTTGCAGGAAGCTCAGCAGCATTACTTCGACTGCATCCTACATACACGGCCAGGGAGATGATTTCGGCGAGTGGAGTGGACATGGTGCCTTACTGCCATGAACATGAGCCCCGAGACTAGCAACAAGCGCTGCTGGAACTTGCCATACCCGACCATCTGCAACGCTTCGTGAATGTTGAGGTCAACCCAGGAGTTCGCTTCATTGTCTATATCTTCTTCGATCGCCGTGTCTGTGGCAGAAGTGCTCGCTGTCGCTGCGCCGTCGTCTGCCGAGGCGTCGAACACATCCGTTGGAGGCATGTGAATGCCGTTACAACGTTCGATGCTCGGTATAAGTCGACCGAACGATGAATTTAATGCTATTTGTAGCACCTTATGCAACTTCGTGTTTCTGTCGAAATTGTTATTTTTTGCTAGAGTGTTTTTATAATATCACACAATATGCCGATGTAACATATTCCTTCCGGGACTACGAACATGCCATAGAATCGTAACTTGCACTTTCGCTTGCCGACGTAAATTACAAAACATTACCTGTCTTTATGCTCCTGAATGCTGCGTGTGTCTTGTTGCGGATGAATTTGATCTGAAGTGTATTAACAAAATATTTTCGACCTCAGCAAATCTTGAAATATCAGCCACTTGTGATTTTTATCATCCGGATATACCATATTATCCGTCAACAGCATCTTTTTTGGTAATTCCGTTGGACCGTTTAGGAAAAACTCTCACACGGAACGACACGTCGCGATGCAGGAGGCGGCGATTGGGTTCACGGTCTGCCGCGGTAGACTCGAATGCATGAATAGAGTGGCGTGTGATGTGTAAGAACGCTGTAGCAACCGGATCCTCCTTTGAACACCCCTTGGCGAACCTGACCCAGTACAACAGAAAGTCGTACTGGGCATCCTTTGCCAAGCAAACGGAAGTCATGGTTGCCCGCTTGTACGTGAGGCATTGAGATCTTGCTTGGATATTCTCATTACTCCGTAGGGATACCAAAGCCCTTCTGGGAGAGATCGTCATATTGAACAAGAGCGCACAGACTGTCGACATCAGCCTGGCGGTGCAAGACAAACGGAGTGAGTACATTGCAGGTAAAATGCACCTCATTCTCCGAGCTTTGCTAACAGCACCTGGACTATGCCTCTCAGTCAAGTCTGGCGTTCGGCTGCCTCTAAATCGAGAGTTTCGAATCAAACTTGGGTACCTCCCCGCGTGCTTCATTCGGTACCTATCCACTCCATGCTTTCATGTGCTGAGCAATTTTTAGATTATCCTTCAAACGGCAAGACAACTCGCCGTCGATCGAGGTGTATGCTATTCAGCCACGGGGCATCTCGTGTGGATACTTGGAGCACAACGGCGGACCAGCGCTCTTCAACGTAATAAGCCACACCACCGAGGTAACCTGCTATTTCCAACTGAGGCAAAATTTCATCCATCTATAGAGCATTCTATTCGGCCCTTCATTGCCCTCGAGCCTGCCTGAGCGAGATTGCCTGAGTGAGACTCGATCGGGGTAAGTCACGACTTCAATGCCACGTTCCACGACTCATGCGCACGCCAAAAGATCTCCGGCATGGATGAAGCGGCATCAAAGCCTTCAAGACCTGCACGTAGCACGCCTCGAGAACTCATTGAGGTCATATATGCCCCATGCCCCAACGCGGCGCGCGTTGTCGTATATGTACTGACACAGGCGCATGAGAGAATATATTCGCCGAGTTGGATATATATTTATTTTTCATGAAATGCCAATATTGGCTGAAATCTTGATTTTCATGAATTTTTCAACATCTTGCAACGGAATGATGAATTCGCATATTGGAAACACATTTTGGCTAATTGCATGAAGAGCTCATCCCACCTACATGACGACGCGCCGATCCAATGGACCATAGCGTGCCAGCGATCATCCCGGCAGGACTCGTTCAGAATCAGGGAGCGTGTGGAGCTCCTTCACGTTGATGGCTGCCCGAGCGAAGAACTCGGTCGAGTCTGATGGCATTGCGAGCTTGTCCCATTTGCAGTGAGCGGTGTCGTGGCTGGCCCGCCTGGCGCTGGACGCGGTGGATAGCACCGAGGAACTCTGCTGCCATGCGCAGCCCTATTTGGTTGATGCATGAGAGTCGGACGACACGACAATGCGGGATTGTACCATGCTTCGAATTCAATGGATTGCGAGGGATATTCGTTCATGCGTACTGAGGACGACATATGGAGACTCTACAGCACGGAAGCGCATCTTGGGCAACTTGGCAATCAAGCATCTTGGCCAGCTAGACCTTGTGGCGTCTAACTCAGTGGGCCGTAGCGGAGGATCATGCCGCGCCAAGATAGGTTGCCGTACGTCGACGAGCTCCGTAAGCACAACAAATAAAACGAAAAGGACAAGTACGAGAGCTAGATCGAGCTCGATCAGCGCCCCCATCGAGTGCCCCTGAAGGAAACGAGGGCAGGTTCACGTGCGTCGCGTTGGCGTACTCGGACTGAGAATAATCCAATGCCAAAATGCTGTGGACAAATTCAAAGTAATTGGCCACAAAGTACTTTTCCATGTAAACGGCGCTCTCGCTCGCTGCGTCCACGTCCCTGGTTGAGCACAACTAGCAATCCAATGCGTCGTTTAGAAAAGGTCTTGCGTCCCCCGTGGTCCACCACCAACTCGGCATATCCCAAGCACGCCGCAACGTAATCGTAGCGACTTGAATGCTTGTTCATTCCATAAACGAGAAACAAAAGGGTTTCCCAATCGTTCGTCGACGGCCAGCACCACTTCGTGCAGAGCCACAGCGACCCGCAGTGACTCTATTGAAATTGGGGTGCAAACGGGCATGCTCTGGAAGCGCCACCACTTCTGTTTTGTACTTGTGAGGAATCCCCGCGCGGCATTGCTTGGACTTTTGCGCACACTCCACGTCTGCAGGGTGCGAAGATTTCGTACAGCCGTCAAACAAGAGCAACGTGCCCGATGTAAGTCCGACGTAGATTGTGTGCCCCCATAAACGCATTGAAGGAAGCGTCCGTCCAACGATATCGCTGCCGGGATCGTGTCCATGGTCGGGCGAGATTTTGCGGAAGGTGAAGGCAGCCGCTCTTCGGGATTGTGCACAGCTTCCTCGTGTAAGCCAAATGGTTGCTCGACAAGATTGTGCCGATGCAGAAGCAACTGTCACCATCCACTCCACGAGGCTGCCGTCAGCCGCCGGCCTCGTCGAGGTAAGAGTTCAGGTTGGAGAGAAACCCCCAGGATCTCCCCGATGGAATTTTCTTGGGCAAAGTGAAGCCCTCGAACAACACAATGGATTCGACCATCTACCAGCCAGTCACGCCATGAAATCGAAAGGCCATTTTTTCTCATTGACATGGCCATGCAAGGGTCGAGAACGTTTTTGGACTGTTCACTTCGCTGCCACTTGAACCGACCGTCGCCGCGCCAGAGTGGAACGTATGCAAAGCCCACCCCGTCCTTCCATTTGGATAAGAGGTCCAGGGATGGATGCGCAGCCCAATGGGGACTTCAAGTAGTCGTCGCAGAGTTGGTTCGATATATTTTCGTTGGGTGATCGTCACGTGCGTGTGTCATGTTCTCAGTTTGAATTTTCACATGTACTACACGGCAGAGCGCTTGTCATGTGCACTTCAAAGTGCTGCCCGCCCTTCCCCCCTTGCGAGAGCTCGTCAAGCCCCCGGTAGTGGTTTGTCATCGAGTGGCCGAGCCCTCACCCACCGTTCCCAAGACCTGAATTTTGGCTCTTCAGATGTCATCAATTTAAATGGCTAATTCTGGGCGGATACCTCCAGAAACTAATCATGTCGTCGATCAAATTATATTGTGGGCTACACGATTGCATACACCGTTGCCAAAACATCAGGTCCTGATTTGTTAAAAATTGAAATTTTTTTGTGGGGCTCGATGGCATCAAACTATCGATTCAAAAGCATGGACGATCGAGATCATGAAATGGTTTTCATATTTACCTCTACTTCTTTATGGCGTTTTTATATCTAGCAGCTTCGGTTTGAAAATTGACCGGGTTTTTGCATAGTCGATGGATACGATCTGGTCAACACGGGACGGCCCACGTTGAAGTGTTTTTTCATCTTTCGTGGCGGCGTCATCTCCACGATGGTCGCGCTGACGTACTGCTGCATACAGTGCTTTGCTCATACGGTTCTAAACATCGATTTTCGCCCAACCTGAAGCTTCTCGGCAGAATGTCACGACCGACGCCTCGTCTAGCAACTCGTAAACCACGTGCTCGCACAACCACGCGACCGACCTTGGTTGCTCGAAGCGCAACTCTTGCCTCGATTTTGCAGGAGATCTCGTTGATTTTGCCTCGTAGCATCTCGTCGGAGCTACTCGGGTCCTTTTGAACGTTTCGATACAAAATGCCCGTGGTCAGTGAGTCACGGGACATGAAATGCACAGCAGCAGCCGTCACAAGGCGCTATTGGTATGGACATGACCGCCCAGGGGTCGGCGGTCCACAGGCCTGCGATCACGTTATTGGAGTTTGATTCTCTCTGGCTCTTGAATGGAGCTGTTTCCTCGCAATGCATCCAAGAGAAAGCCGCAAACCCCGCTAGGAAAGACTTCGTAGCCGAACTCACCCAGTTCGAGCTAGGATGTATATCATCAACTAGACCTAGCAACAGTTTCGCTCAGATGGGGAAAAGATTTCGAATGCAGAGATGGCTGCGACTTCGATTTTTTCCGTCGCGCTGCTTTCAAGTCGGGCCTCTACGACAACGAGGTTGGTGCGTCGATATGGCATTGTGCAATTTGACTGGCCCAAGTCATAATGCGATTTTCTGCAGTTCTCTTTGCTGCCGTCTTGGTCTCGACTGGCATCTCGGCCGACAATGTGCCGACCGTCGCTCCTATCTCCACCCCCGCCTTGTCACCCGAACCGAGCGCTGATGCCCTACCCAACGCGACAGAACCAGCCACTACTGACGCCCCCAATGGCGACAATTTTGAAGCGAGCGCCAGCCCGGCACCAACGAGCACTGACGTCGTTAGCTTACTCGAGGCCGCGAACGATGACGACTCCAATTCGACGGACACATCAGTGGCCACGACTGAGTCTCCAACGACGGCGCCTCCCACGGAAGAGCCCACCCATGCGCCTAGTCCTCACGATGGAACCGACCACACCGAGGAGCCTGACCACCCAAACGGCCCCTCTCGTCGCTATCACCAAGGGGATTTGGCTGACGTTGTATCCATGAA